AAATGCCATTTATAAAATCTAAATTGTTCGAGCTTCTGGGAAGTTAGTCAATAGCTGTTGAAAATGATTTCATCAATCTAGTCGTTCATCCATTCCATTAGATTCTTCTTTTCTGCAAAGTTTGGTCCTTCACTTCACAAATATCATACCATTTGAAAATCACTGCATTTTATACATACTACATCAGCAAATCTGTACAGCAATGTTGTTTTAATTCTACTCAAAATGGTTTTTCAGTTAAGGGCATGTATATCTCACCCTTCCATTCTATTTAAAGTGCTAAAGAATTAAGTGGCTTTTCCAGCATGCTGGTCACCCCAGCCCACCCCTGGGGTCCTGAAAGCATGAGTGTACACATTTGCCCCGCTTCCCTGCAGGATGGACCGTGGATGACAGATCTTGCTGGGGAAAGCAACATTAGATGGGATTGCACCCCCACCCCCACAAAGATAAGGGACCCAGCTTGGATGCCCTCTTGGATCAAACTCTGCTCTTCCATAGTCATAGGGTAGCCAAGACTACCTTTGCCAAGCTTTGGCTGGTGTACCAGTTGCATCTCTTCATGGGGAAGGCAGATCTGATCACGGTGCCTGAATTCCATTGCATCTAGATTGCATTAACACACGGTCCAGGGAGATGGTCCTACTGATGGTTTCGGAACAACAACCAGTGCAAACACAGTGGCCACGCTTTCTTCCGCTAGGCTTTTTATAGACCATGCAATACTGATTTTTGCTAGCTTCCTTTTTATTTTTGAAATGTTTTTAAAAGCTCAATTCAGGTGTTAAACAGTTTGGAGCCAGAACATCTGAAATACCTCTTCATTCCCTACAAGGTGCCTACAGCTTGCATTCATCATCTGGGGCCTGCTCATTTCCTACTTATAGAGAGGTGAATCTGGTAAGAGCACTACCAATTGTAGAACTCTTTTCCCAGGGAAGTCAGGTTGGTCGCCTTCTTGCTTACCATTTGACAACGGTTAAAACTAGAATGAATGTTACTGATTGATGCAGCTCCTTGATGTTAGAGCATATCTCAGATGTGTTTTTGCTGTTTTTAGTTTTCTAAATCTATACTTTATTATTTGTATGGTTTTACTGTACATCGCCTCAAGCACTCATTGAGTGAAGTGCAGGTTTAAAAGAACACATTCAAGATGCTATTCTGTGCAGACTTATGTAGGGACTAGCTTGCTTCTCTAAGATACAGCCTTTCAAGGTGGATACTTCAGACTCTGAATCTGAACTGGAAGAAGAGACAGGATCTGAAAGATGAATTTCCAAGGTGAGGAAGCTGCAAGGTAAGTCAGACTGCTGAAGGGATGTCTCTGGTTCAGGGATAGACACTGTTGCACAGGGAAAGGTTGTCGCTTAACCCAGTGGTTCAACATGGGAGCAAATGTCAGCTCCAGTGTTCCCACTCTCTGGCCCACTAGTAGCACAATTGTCCCTACGGGTGGAACCTATGCCATTTGGTTGGGAAGAGAGGAACGTATTTCATTTTGGAATCAACTCTAGAATGAGCAGAACTAACTATGCTATTAGAGAGATCATTAACTTGAAGGATGCTTCTTGTTCATGATCTTTATATTACTAACTGTGTATCACCAAGCCAGCCCTGGCCGACTCGCTGAACTTAATAAAAAACGGTAGTTAGAAGCTTCTCACATTGACCTGCTAGGAAGGGAAAAGGAAAGAAGTTGGTGGGGAAGAGAGGCCAGCTCATAATAGTTTCAACATAAAAAAGCCTATGAATTCCAACAAGCTGAGCGTGGTAGTCCTTTTTCCTATCTAAACTTGCATGGACTTGTACTCTGAATAAATAAAAGTAAAAGAGGTGGAATTTATTCAGGAAAAGCCAAGATGCAAGTTATTAATTGTATCTATATCTTTGGCAGAAAACATCATACTACCCAAATATCCAAAAGCGCAGCAATGTGATTTAAGCAGTTTTACAAAAAGTTTGTGAAATCCAGGCTCAGATAGAGTAAGCATTACAATAGCAGTATAGGAAGCATATAACCTGATGTAAGTCTCTAGTTTTTTTTAAGTGATTTTTACAAATAGTTCCATATTTATGATGTTCTCATCAACATGGATATCTCGAAATTCCAAATACCAGTACTGATTTAACAGATATTCATACACTTCTTCAATTAACTGCATTAGCAGGATGCATTTCATTTCTACCAAGACAAATATTATTTCCTTAGTGTTTGTGAAGCTTTAATTACAACAGCCCTGCAGTAACTCTTGCAGTCTGTTATAGTTTGTTTCAGATTAAATGGATTTTATGACAATTTCCAGTGTAAATGCGGAGCCTGGAATTGATGGTTACTGGGCCAAGACCAGTTCCCTGGGGGGCACTCTCTTCCCACTGAAGTTGCTATTCCAGGGCAAGACAGATTATATGGAAACATTAATATTTTTCCTCTTCCTTGTACTTTCTTTTTTCCTTTCTGGTAATAACTGCTATATAATTATGCTTCATAATAGGCATTTTTGCCCTTTTTGTAGTCTGGGAAGGGGGTGTGTGAATTCTCTACCCTGTTTTGTTTGTTATGGTTACTGTTGTGCTATAAGTAAGAGGATTCTTTTTAAATGCCGGAAGACTTGCTACCAGCCCACTTTGGAAGAGTTTAAGGGGCAGCTGCAGCCACCTCTCAGACTGGCCATGTGGTAAGGCTGATCAGGAGCCTCAAGGAGGCATGTATTGAAATGTTATCTTCCCCTTATGGGAGTGGCAGGGTAGAGATAAGACAGGGAACAGGTGGAAACCTTTGCAGCCTTCTTTATAAAGGAGGCCAGGTGTTCTTTTTACAGGAGACGTTCCTCTGTTCAAAGGTCTGCCAGACAATCTTGTATTTGGAAATGGCTGTATCATCCAAATCTGGTTTAAAATTAAACAATGATAAGAGGGTGGAGTAGGGAGAGGCCTTGAAGTAGCTCATCCGGTGGTGGGGCAGTGGATTAATCAGGCCCACAGTCCCCTGGTCAGTCTTTCCTGCTATCGAGGGAACTGGGAAGTTTCATATTTCTGTATAAATTATAGCAAATATTTGTAATTATTTATCTATATCAATAAGCATTTGTAAATATTACATAAATTGAAATCATTTTTGTTCTCTGTTTTGGCATTTCTGTTGGCGGAATTCTGTATCCTCTTTAGAGGGCTGAATGTATCAGAAGCTGTTGACACTTGGCAGAAACTAAGTTACTTGCTAAAGGTTTTAACTTTTCTCAATAAAGGTTATAGCAGCTGTCAAGATATCCAGATAATAAGATCTATATGAACATTTGTGGGGAGCTAAGCGGTCCACTGTGCTGTGTAGATGATGGTGAAATACAGGGAATGGCTGGTAGAAAAAGGAGTCGAGTGCTGTTCAAGCCATCCGAGGAACTAGCACAAAATGCCTCATCATTTGTGGGCCTTTGTGTAGGAGCATAAACAGATTGTTCACTGAAATTTAAACCTGTGACCAACACAAAAGCTTCATTTTTAGAAAAGATATTGTTGCACTGGATTTTAGTCTGATTTCTACCACAGATTACTGTGATTCCATAATATCATAGCATAGGCACTAACAAACCATACATTTTCCTAGTTTGCTGATGTTTCACTATTCTGCAAATTATTATTTATTATTTAGTGTATTATTTTTAAACTGTTTTAATTATTTATACTCTTTCAATTGGTTGTATCCAGTGTTAGTCCTACCTAGAGGAGATTCAATTAAATGAATAAAATTTAAAGTAGATTAACATTGGCTTCAATCCAGTTATTGCTAATCTCATTTAAATGCCTGTGTTTTCTTCATGGCTTTTCAGGGTATTTTTCTGAGGCACAGAAGAAAGGTAGCATTCAGTGAAAATCTAGTTGCATCTACCAACCAGATTTGAAGGGTGGGTTTGCTGGAGACTTTGGGGAAGGGTCAGACCAGAACTTGATGAGTGCGGGCATTTCCTGGGTCTGGCAGTCATTAAAGAAAGCCAGATCCAGCACCTTGACTCACTGAGCATGAGGATGAAGGCAATGCACATTGTCTCTGAGCTAAGTAGACTTATGCCAGGGTTGGTATGGGGCCGAACAAGGGGAGTCTGGTTCATCCTCACTGCAGGGTCTTCCTATGTCTGAATCGCCAATGGTGTGAATGAATAAGAATCCATTAGAGCCTGCACTAGGCGGGGGTTTTAAGGTTTTCCAGCCCATCTCCAGCATTTCTCAGAAGAAAGGGCTCTTTTGATAAGTTCTTGTTAAATTTTCAGTGAAATAGAACATGTTTCCTTTCATATGCTGTTACTATCTTACATCAGTATGTGTGCTGTCACTTCCCAGGTAATGAGCAGCCCAGCCGCGCAGCCGCTCCAGTACCATTGTGCAATACCAGTTTACCAATCATATATAGAAGTTGCTATAGGATTACGATTAATTTAGAGTTCCTCTAGTGTGCCAGTCAAGCACAAGAGTGTATTTGGTCTCTTCAGTGGGGAATAATAAGAAAATAATGAGTGGGCAATAAGAACTTCTCCGCTTACATTACACAATAGCAATGGTGGAAGCAATGGTCCTTCCCCAATCGGATTGGCGTAGTCCAAACTATGCCATTGTTCAAACACGTTTTCCAGTGTCACTCGTGTCAAGTTGTTGTGGTTTTTAATGTGTTAGGTCTTTGATCTCTAAAATAAATGAGTCCCTGAAACAGTTGATCATCTTATTGTTAGGTGTGTTATTTGTTAACTAAGCTATGATGAAGGTGGTTTTTGTGATTTTCTTTGGTTTGATTGCCATTGGGTTTTATTGTATTGTATGTTCTGTGTGAGCTGCCTTGTAAGGACTTACGTACTAAAAATCTGAGTGCACTTTTCATATACATATAAATTATCAATATTTCATTATAATTATCAACATTATGAACCAAGTTTAGATTTCAGATTCTATAATTATTACAATAGCTGTCATTGGTATATAATAGTATAACATCTTCCTTTTTTACTATGCAGGTTATTGCCATAGTTATGGATATATTTACAGATGTGGATATTTTCAAAGAAATTGTAGAAGCATCCACCAGGGGAATTTCAGTATATCTTCTGCTAGATGAATCTAACTTCAGCCACTTTCTTAAGATGACAGAGAAACAGGGCTTTCAAGTCCAAAGGCTCAGGGTAAGTAATTTATTCATTAGGTTGGGTAAATAATGAATGCTTATGTGTCCCATATCAATAAATATCAATTAATAAATGGGTATTATTATATAAAATGTTTTCATACATACATATATACAAGTTAACCTGAAAAAGAATTGCATCACATACATAGTTTCATGTTTAATTAGTATATTGTCAGGTATTGATTATAGTTTATTACATTTCTAATCCATCCAATAACTCACATTCTCTACACAAATTACAAACAGTTAAAAACTAAAATGCCATAGAACAGTTTAAAATAAAGCCTACAACAGAAATATTTAAAAGAATAAAGTACAATGTAACCAAAACATTCAGCAGCACTGATAAAATGGCTGTGGGAACTGATAAAACAGCACTTGACTGTGTATTAGTTGATGTACCAATAATTGGCTTAGTTTCAAATTTGATGATAAAGAAATCAGATACATAACCAGCTGATTAGCATTTTATACAGAAATAATGAAATGATTTTGTTAATTGTGAAACAGCAATGAAATAAGAATATTTAGCAATGAGCATAAGGAAAATTTTATCCCAAGTTTGACTATTGCTGCTACCAAATGTTTTCATTGTGACATTGACAAGACAAAACAACAAATCCACGCTTGCGTACTTGGAAGCCAGCCACCTTAAGTGGGCCAGTTAGCACATAATGACAGCCCAGGTTTTTAAAATTCCTTGGTATATGAAAGCAATCTAAATGGATTTATCTGGGGCTTACCTGTGAATAAGAAACATGAGGTTGCATTGCAGAACTTTATTTCAGTTTTATTTTCCTCTTTGTTGGAGACATGAATGCTTTGGGAGTTAAATCTCAGTTGGGAAAGGTTGGGGAAATTTGATGGGATAGTAACCTAATGCAGTTTGGCAGATATTTTACTTTTGTTATACTAGATGTTTGAAATATAACAGGCTATAAATCTAAATAAAATGATGTCGACTAGTGGACTGGTAAAAATACTTCTGGACTAGTAAGATTTGTAAGCTTGTTTCCAAAACTGCTTGCTGCAATAGATCTCTGAGGTGGAAAAACACTGATTTTTCTCCAGAATGTTGCCTCCAATTTAATTTTTATAGGAAGAAAATGCTGCCCCAGCGGAACTTTGCAGTTTTTATAGTTGTGCGAGTGCTAGCAGACCACTTTGTAAACCACAGATCTGCAAAGAATTACAAACACACTTGCAGAAGTGGAACTTTAGTTTAGATTATTTAGTTCAGAATTGGATTCCCTTTTGTACACTGACCTTTGCACTAGTGGACTGACATCGCTGGATAAAACCATATAGTCATGTGTAATTTGGGAGTCAGGGGAGAGTTTTTCAAATTGCTAATTGCAGAATATTTTCTGCAAATACAGCAGGGCCCTCGTGGTCACTGTCTCGGTTACCACGGTTTCAGCTAACCGAGGCTGCCTGCCAGGTCTCGACATTTGCAGGGGTTAGGGGTGCCGGATGTCCACGAATGTGGAAAAACTGCAAGTATCTCTAGGGAACTAGGACTGCTTGGGAACGCTGCGCTCTGTCTCGGCACTAGCTGCCTCACTTTCATGTTTCTTCTCTTAGTAGGTTTGAAGACTCTAGAGATATTCATGGTTTCCCCCCAGAAATATTCATGTTTTTCCAATTTTGTGGGAGTCCTGCACCCCTGACCCCCCCCCCCCCACAGATGTACTGTTTGCTACTATCTGTCGGGGGCGGGGGGGAGCTTGGAACCTACACCCACGGATATGAGGGTCCTGCTGTACTTTTGGCAGCTATACAACTTTGTGTGTGTGTGTGTGTGTGTGTTATTGTTGCCTAATGGTGGCTGCTACTTACAGAGATAATGAGGCATTCTCCCTTCCTCCAGAAATATCATAGAGATATAAACTATGTCTTAACGATGTAAGGCGGTTTGAGGGTGTCACTGATAATGAGCTAGTGTGAACAGATAGCCAGTGGAATCTGTGTGCTTTCTTAGCTGCAGTCTCCCCAGTTCATTTTCAACATTTTCACCTTGTTAAAGCCCTGTTCAGTAGGCCTTATGCTCAAGGAAATGTGCACAAGGCTGGATATTATGAAATACAAGCCTAAAAATGTCTATTCAGAATAACAACCCACTGGGATCAGAGATGCGTGCCCACAAGCAAACATGCTTCGAATGAAACTTAGTAGCTCGCGTTTCCCTATATTCTCCATATCATGCCATCCTACGCATATCTTTCTTCAGGTAGGTCACAGTGATCCTTTGATACACTTTTCAAAAAGAACTATCTATAAAACTATCCTTAAGGGAACAGTCTAGTTTGTGCCAGTTACCTAAAGTTTATGACTAGCATTTGGGAAAGCAATTTAATGACTCAACAATTTAAATTATCTTAAAAGTCTGCTCAGTTTTTTAATCTGAGAAGATTATCAGGTGAAACATATAGAGGGTAATTTATTTTCTTTTTTGGGAGCACCCCCTCAGCATGGAAATAGCCCTGAACACAGTGGGGAGCTGACTGAACAAGCCTGCCAGTGGCTGGTTCTTATCTTCCTGGCCTTCATGGCCTAGACCAGGGATCAACAACCCGCAGCTCCGGAGCCGCATGTGACTCTTTCATCCCTCTGCTGCGGCTCCCTGTTGCTCAAAATATGCATCACAACCGCCAATGTGTGACACCCACTGGCACACGATTTATTGAGCTTTTCAACCCCCAGTAGGCCAACCATGGATAAATCCAAGAAAGGAAAAGTTTCAGAAGAAAACAGAATGTTTAATGGTATGTGGGCAGATTCATTTGCTTTCACAGTTGACGAGTCTGCTTTACCAGTATGCTTAATATGTTTTTGTTGCTTGCAGAAATAAAAATTTGTTTTCTCTGTAGCAGTTCATTGATTTCATAAATGCAACAAACTATAGTTTTTTGGGGGCGGCATAGAAATTGTTATAAATAAATAAATAAATAAATAAATAAATAAACAAACAAACATAGCATAAAGGTAAAAAAGAATATACGCAGTGTTATCTTCATTTTAGATGTCAAAAGGGTTTTGTGGTTGCCGTTGTTTTCTTTTCTGTGGGAAACAGATCCAAATGGCTCTTTAAGGTGGCCGACCCCTGACCTAGGCTATTCATCAGAAAATGCCTGCCCTGCTCCGAGGCCCTGCTTGTGTTCTGCAGGTCAGACCCTGGCTCATATCCTTGGGATGCGAGTTAGAGAACAGACTTGCACGGCTTGTCGGATCTTCATACCCATGGTGGGTCGTTGTTCCTCCCAAACCAAGCAATTGTATCATAGCTTGTCGGGATCAGCTAAAGATCCACTCAGCACCCATGTGTTGCTCTTCACAACCTTGCCAGTGCTGCCTCCAGCCATCCTCACAGGGAGCACCCTTCAGGTGATGCTGTAACAGCACTTGGAAAAGATTGTCACATGCTTGCACTTTTCCCTATGCCTTAAACATGCCCAAATGGGACATCATAGTTTTCATCATCATCATCATCAGCAGCAGCAGCAGCAGCAGCAGCATCCAGTTATTCACAAATACACACTTATATGAGTCCTCCAGTCCTGCCAATTTTTTGCCTGTTTCAGCTGTTAAAGACAGCTGCCCTGGAACAGGTAACGTACAGTGAAATTGTCAAGACGAGACTTCCTATTGCACACAGTTTTGAAGGACTATTTGAAGAAATGCCAGTAAGAAAAAGGAGGGACCCAGTAATGCAATTCACCAGTACTGAAACTGGTGTTTGGGTGCGGGGAGGGGAGGATCATAAGTGAATCGAAACTGGGGTGGGGGTGATCCCTCCCCTTTCGTAACGTGACTCTTTTGTTGAACTGGCATTTAGTGCTCTCTACCTTTTCAAGGCTTGCTCAACATTAATTCTCCCCCTCTTGCTGCTCCTTTTAGGAGCAGTTACTGATACAGTTTCTGTGCTTGACCAGATGTAGAAAGGTAGCATGTAACTTGTTTAAATCAATCATAGCGCATACATAGCATGGGTGAACATGTACCTATGGAAATACCAATGGAAGGATGACCCAATTCCTGGAAACATTCAGCAGATTGGACCAGCTGACCTAGGAACTGTGCTAGCACACCGGAAACCAGCATTTCCCAAAGTAATTGTGGAAGCTAGCAGAGCTTTGCTGACTGGCCCATTCTGGATGCTACCGTTGCCGCTCATTTCTGTTGCCTTCAGGAACGGCTAGCTTCATGTTGTATTAACTGCTGGTCCTGCTGCTGCAGACACCGCACTGGATGCTGACCTATGCTTGCCTTCGCTCGGCCAGATTTATGAAGCTACTGCAGATCTTGCTGTGAGGCTGCTTCCTGGCAGGTGGGAAAGCTCCACAGCCACGCAGGGGGAAATCTCGGGTGCATTCTGCCTGCTTTCCTCATATGGCCAACACAAAAATCCTTGCAGTGGTGAATAGCATGCAGTCAGCATGTTTTGTGTGCTTTGGCGGCCCCTTTATTATTCAAAAGGGAAGATTTTTATCTTGTTCAGATGCAGAAATCCAAAGGCTGCATTTTCAAGGTGCCACAGAGATGTTTCCTGATTGTGTTTCGTGCTGACACATGAAGACTGGAGACAACTAAACTAGATTTCCATGGGTACAGGTTTAATTGGATACTTTGGTATCATTGAATTGAGATGACACAATTGTCCTTATTCAGGATGTTCCTGTTCCTTCAATAGGTTATGCATACCTTACTCTGTTGGTTTTACCCTTACAAGTCACTTGAGTTGTACTTGTAGCAAATGCTATGCAAGTATAATGGATCAGAGCATATTAAGGTAGTTTCTAGATTAACAAATATTAGGGTGGAACCAGTGAAGCAACATTACTTGCTACATGGAACTTAGGAGTCATATGAACCATGAGTTTATTTTTAAAGATTTATGTGCCTCCTTTCAGCAATGCTCCCAGAGCAGTTTACAAAGAAAAACCAAAGGAAGTACATGAAATACTGATAACATACAAGCAAATAGTGATGAGAAGAATAAGAACAATAAACATTATTGTCTATCTCAATCAACATTGTTGAGAGTCATTGTGGTTAATAGGGCAGGAGATAAATCTAATTAAATATTAGCAAACCTAGAAGAATAGATGTGTCTCAGCCTGGTCCTGAAAAGATATAAATGTGGGCATGAGACTTTTGGAAAGGGAATTCTACAGCTGGGGTACTGCCACTGAGAAGGCCTCTCTTTCCGGTTACCACCCATTTCTCATTCCAAGAGGGCAGCTCCTGAAGGAGGGCATCCTGGAGGGAGCTTCCAAAGATGGCACAGGCTGGCTGGCCTGGCTGCACACATGCCTTTGGGTTTATGGGTCACAAGCCATGTAGGGTTCTAATGGAGAGAGCCAGCTTTTTGAACTGTGACAAGAAGAATGCACCCGTGAGTTATGCGCCCAACAACGAGCCCTATTCAGTAGCCTATATCCTGAGGGACAAACTACATACTAAGTTAGATGCACAGCATACATAGAGTTAATGCAAAGGAGAGGCACAGTTGCTTTAATGCAGCATCTAGTTTGATCCCAGATAACATCAGTTGCTGAACAGTCTTCAGAGAACCAAGTGTGCAACATAGTACAGTAGGCAATCCTAGATATTATTGGATCTTGGGTAATTATGGCAATGCTCTCTCTCATATATGCATATTAAGATGTTAAACAAAAGTGTACAAAGGGCACAACAAAGCAAACAGCCACCCCCACCCAAAACCAAGCAGATGGTTGTTAGTAAAGACAATTCTTATAAGCCAGGGCTTCCAGGCTCCATAAAAGCAAGCATACTTGTACATATACTTATTCTTCTGAGTCCCTAATCCTACACCTTTGCAAATCCTACAGATCACGTGGCTCGCTCTTCTTACCAAGCTAATTCCTACACACTCCATCACTGCTTCAGCTCTCTCCCCAAACTAGAGTCATTGATCCCTCTTTGGAAAACAGCCTTGACACTTCATAATCTCAATATCAGCAGAGTGTTTTTTAAAAATCAATTTCCTTAATAGATGAAGGTAACAATCCCAAGCAAACTTAGAATGGAATACACTTTGTTGTACATGATGGGATTTACTCCTGTATAAACATACATAAGGATTTCAGTGTATAGATTAAGACAATGAAGGTAGACAAGCTCAACAACAACTAATTATATGACAACCTTTTATCTTTTTCATGTCTCTTTCTCCTTACCTTTTCTCCTCCATCCCATGGTTCCCCATATTTCCTTCCAACATGGTCAACTCACAAAAGGGAAGGAAATAGACTCAGGAGATCCCCAACATTTACTAAAGTAGGAAAAAATTAAGGGGAGGAAATAGGAAAAAAACCACAGCTCACTGCCAAACACAAGATAGTTTAGTCCTTTTGTTGGTCTTCTAAGTCTAATAACTGTTAGGAAAGTTATGCTTCATACTTTCAATGTCATTTACTTCCACCTTCTCTATTAATTATTGACACGTACACATGCATAGCTCCTGCCTACAGCAACCTTATTTTTATCTTACGGGAAAACAGGTTTGTGCTGTTTTTCATTTAGTTTTTATGTAGGAATAGAATACATTGGAAAATATATGTAAAGTGGAAAATGCTTTTGCTTTTTCTTTCATTAACATGATAAATAGGGTATAATAAAGAAGCCTGATTTTTGCAGTTATATAAACTAAATTAACATTCATCTTGAACCTGTTATAAACAAAAGAACAAAAATAATTTCATCTGGAAAGTATTAAATGTTAAAATATGCAGTTCCTGTTTGCAGTAATTTCTAGGGCTGTACAATAATTAAGAAGAAAGGTAAATCATTTTATCCCCTTATATTGAAAGTATAATTGTCAGAGTGAAGAGGGAGGAATGGCAGGAATAGTATAATCAATGCTTTATTGGTTCTGTTGTTGGAGCATGTGTGAAAAAGTCATTTTATGTTACAGAAACTGCTCCTACTGGAATGAAATGTATTACACACATGCCATTCATACGCAGTCATTTAATCAATGTAGCAGCTGAACTGCGATTCTTTAAAACCATCATCAGAAGAAACGGTTGTGGAAGAACAGATGAATCCAGCAGTGAAATGGATTGCCACATAATTGAATCTCTCCCCACTACCCTGTAGTACTTTTCATTCATTTCATTCCCACCATCCCAGAAATTTTGGAGGGAAACCGTTTAGCAAGGGAGGCTGGCAACGCCTGTGTCGGTGGGGCTTTTGTTCTTTGAGTTATACAAATCATCCATAATGCGGAATTCCATCCCTAAAATAGGTTCACCACCATGGAGTACCATGGATGACTTCTAATAAGCTCAAAATAAAAGCTGCAGTGGATGAGGAACCCCACTGACGCAAGAGTCGTCTGCCTCCACTGCCATTTAGGTATTGTAACACACACACTGATGATGGACATCACTCTGCGTATCGCACCATTTATCTTCCCGTGACGTCAGTGTACAATCCAATGTCATTCTGTAGCATGCGGTGCTTAGACCAAGGCAAACTGGACTCACTTTCTCACTCAGCTGTTATCTTGGAATATTTGCTGTTCAGCTTCTCTCTCATACACACACACATACACAGAGCACTTTCATTGTCTGAGTAGGATTACTCTAGATAATGGAAACTTCTTTCTCTTTGCAAACACTGTTGATTAAGACACTCTAGTCTCTGCTTAGCAGGGACTGCAAGATTTTTTGGATTCTCTTTTCTAAATCTGGAGGCACCACAGCCACTAAAGAGGAGGACTTTCCCTCCTTGGATGACCCTGCAGAGGTCCAAAAGGGATCTTTCCAGGGAAGGGAAGAGAGGCTGGAATATGCAAAATCCGACAGTCTTCTCAGCCCCATCCTGCCCCCAGGAGCCCATCTAAAGGAAACATTTAAAATAGGAGAGAGAGGCAAAACCCACCATGTCTTTCCACCTGCCCAGCTGGATGCAGCCTGGCAGGAAATGGGCTCTTGGGAAGCTCAGAAATCAGAGGCTTCCTTCTAAAGGGCAGCAAACCTCATTTTTCTTGTGTGTATAATATGAATAAAGTGTCTAAGGTTGCATTTGTAAACTCACTCACCAGGAAATAATTCCGGTTGAACATCCTGGGATATATTTTTGTATAAAGAATGCTTACGGATTGCACAGTACATGGTATGTCTGGAATTGCCTGGGATGAAACCTTCTTGAATCACATAGGAATGAAGCTGTAAGTGGTTCAGTATGTTCTGACTTTTCATATTATTTCTCATTGTTTTCAGAACATGCGAGTGCGCACAGTAAAAGGACAGGAATATTTCTCTAAGTCAGGGGCAAAATTCCATGGAAAAATGGAACAAAAATTCCTTCTTGTGGACTGTAAGAAAGTGATGTACGGTACCTATAGGTAAGGACCTACTACGTAGCTGTTACAATTTAGGCCTCTTCACCAGAATTCTAAAATGTTAATTACAAACTCTTGCTGTTCTTGGGATAATTTGCTATTTATCTATTGTAAAATTGAAGGGGTCTCTATAGTTAAAGCTATAGAACTATAAAGTGATGTTGAGTTGGGAAAACTTGGATTCAGCTGTTCATGCAGACATGAAGCTTCTGGTGTGACCTTAAGCGACTCACCCTTAAAACAAATCTAACTGACAGGAGCATGAAAAGGATACATGCATGTATTCATTATATTTAAATACTACCTTTTTTCCCTTCAGAGATGAAGAGGGGAAAGGAAAACAAGAAAATCTAGGCTCCATTCTTCATGTTATACAGTTCTCATCATTGTTATTTTACTTATTTAGTTATTTGATTTATATGCTGCCCGATTAGCCATAGGCTTTCCGGGTGGCTTACATAACAATCGGAACCACAATAAAATAAACACAACAGTACAATAAAACAGTAATAACATTAAAATCAATAAAATTAATAATAATAATAATAAATAGTAATTAAACAATTAAGCAATAGTAAATGGTAATTAAGTTATACTAACAATAGTAATTTAAAATTAATAACATAATTAATTGAGAAGGGAGATACAAAACAATGAACAAGTAATGACAAACTGTGATAGAAACAGGCTGCTTTCAATTCAAATTCAGACTCTGGCAGGCCTTCATAATCTATTTTGGTGATCAGACCTTGCTTGAAAAGGCCGCACTGTGGCCAGAAGTTGTTGGTCTTACAGAGAGTGGGCCTTGACTGGAATTTGCTGGCTTGGCTAGTTGTTGCCACTGCAGGTAACTTCAGGTACAGCTCAGAAAGTCCCATACCCTGAGAGCTAATCATCCTGCCGCTCTTCCCTGTGAGGACAGTCGGTCACAGTAGCCTCTAAGAGGTGGAGAAGCCCAGCCAGCCAATAATGGCAGAGCAAGATCACTGGATACGAGAAAGATCACTGTCCCTCTTGCTGGTCCCTGCAAGAGCAAAAATCACTTTTACTGTTTTCTGTCTACTTTGGTACTTCCTTGTCATTAACATCTTTAGCTTTAGTCATCACTGAACAGATTTAATGCTTTTACAAACACAGTGTGCATTTCCGAGAAGAACAGACACATATTTATAAATAAAATGTTTACCTATTCATAGAAACATAGACACATATTCTTGATTGAAATGCTAATAATCATGTCTTCCTTTTTCAGCTTTATGTGGTCATTTGAAAAAGCCAACCTCAGCATGGTCCAGGTCATCACAGGACAACTTGTTGAATCATTTGATGAAGAGTTTAGGACACTCTATGCCCGTTCTTCTGTTCCAAGTTCATTTGCTCCAGAATTGGTTAGGATTAATAGTCGTTCAGCACTCTGGCAGAACAACATATACCAGCATTCACAGTCCTCCTTAGCTTCAGCTTCTAGCCAGCGTAACCTTTTTGGGAGACAAGACAAGATTCACAACTTTGATCCCAGCTTTCTGAAACCCCGAGGAGCTGGCAGATATGGAATAAATGACAATGACAAGTTTGGTCCTAGAAACCAGATCTTCCCCAAAATACCTTTTGCTCCAGGTTTTCATATGCAGAATAGAATCCAACAGTATCAGCCTAATGAAATAAACGAACATTGGAAAAGACACAGTTATGCAGGGGAAAAACCAGAAATGACTCCATATTTACTGTTCAACAGAGCAATAAATCGGGCAAATAATCCACCAAATACTTGGAAAGTACCATCTGAAAGTCTCAGTATTGTATCTTCATTGCATGGAAGCTATAAAAATCACAATGCCCCTCAACAGAGGTTAGCTCAACAGCTAGCACAGCCAAAGCTCAATATTGTGGATAGGAATTCCATTGTACGGAGATCTTTCAATGGAACAGACAGTCACATCCGCTATTTGCAGCAGAAGATGCCCACACTTGAGCGCACCACAAAATCTTTTCTGCGTAACTGGCGTATTGAGTCGTACTTAAACGATCAGTCGGATTTTCCAGCAGATGCAAATGGCTCAGGGATAGGTGACAGGTGTGAAGGCTATGATGCAGCAGAAAACATCAAAGCCCATGCTCTTTACACCCATTCCCGCCTGCGTTCTTCATTTGTTTTTAAGCCAACCTTGCCAGAACAGAAAGAAGTCAACAGCTGTACTAGCTCTTCAAATTCAACTATTATTGGTTCAGATGGAAGTGAAACACCTAAAGGAACCCCCAACCATCTTCCTAAACTAAAAGATGCCGTTGGTGACACCAAGGCCGAACCAAGCACTAAAATCCCACTAGAACCTGCTGTAGTAAAAAGCCATAACCTGCAAATCTCAGAAGATAAGAAGCCTAGTGTCACTCCACCGAGTACAAACAAACCAATTGAATTTATAAAGAATGAAAATATACTGAAAAGGAGAAGTTTCCCAATGTTTGAAAATCCAAAATATACATTGGATCATGGAAATAACAAAGACGGAGCAAGCTGTGTCTACGGCACGCTAAACAGGAATAGGGTTAGGCAACCAACGGTGCTAAAGCCACTGCTGGAAGACAGCTTGAAAAACTCTAAAAGCTTAAGTAATGTGATGAACCACCTGGAGCATGACAGTAAAAACCTCAAAGGTGAGCTGGAAAGTGCCCCCACCGCCAAGGCCACCTCTGTAGCGGTGCTCACGGAGTGCTGCAAAGAGGAACCTGGCAAAGATGCCTCACCGAAGAAAGAAAACAAGAATTCCCCCAATTTCTTGAAAAAGGGATCTCAGAAATTAAGGTCATTGCTGAATCTCACACCAGACAAGAAGGAAAGTTTGTCGAAAAACAAAGCCCCAGCTTTCTACAGGATGTGTAGCAGTTCTGACACTTTGGCATCAGAAAGTGAAGAAAATCAAAAGCCCAAAATGTCTGAGATGAAAATTGATTGTTCTCCAAGAAGAAAAAGAACTTCCTCATCTAATTCACAGGGGAGCCTGCATAAAAGTAAAGAGGATGTTACAGTGAACCCCAAGTCTCCCAAATCTCCCAAGTCCCCCAAACCTCCAAAGTCACCAAAGCCCCCAAAGTCACCGAAGTCCCCAAAGTCACCGAAGTCCCCAAAATTTCTAAAGCCTCCATCTGATGAGAACATTAAAAGGTCTCCTGCTACAAAGCCCAGGGAAAATATGTTGCTAGAAGTACCTCCAGGCGATGCTTCTGCTCCCAGATTCAACACTGAACAAATTCAGTACCAGGATGTCAGAGAGCTGCGTAAAAAAGCAAGCCACGAGAGGGTACCCCCACCTTCTCCCCCTGTGCTTCCTCCCCAGAGGGTCAATGCGGCAGCACCTCGTCCTTCCAATGCAAAGCCTAACGATGAGCTGATGAGGCCTCGCTTGAACGAAAGGCGTGTTTACAGCCGCTTTGAGCCTTTTTGCAAAATGGAAGGCTCTGCTCAGCCACTGGGAACACCACCTGGAAGCAACTCCCCAAAAAGCAGTGCCCAGCTTTCAGAGACAAATAGCAAGACCTCCAGAAATAATTATATGAGGAGCAATCAGGTGGCTAATTACAACCCTGGTGTATACCATCCATTGCATCCAAATGAAAACAAGTTTCGCGGCATTATGCAAAAATTTGGAAATTTTATATACAAAAACAAATGAAAGCTATGTATTGAATTTTTTAAAACCCCATCCATGCTGTAAATACTTAACAAACATAGACTGATAAGCAGCTTTTGTAAAGCTTAACTAATGTTACTACAGGTTTAGAAGACTGCTGTGCATGTATATAATTTTACATGGTGCAAAACTTTGGTCTGGCATAGGTTTTGGAATCCTATGTGTTTATATATATTTGCATTTTTATGGATTTTGAGGTGCATGAAAGATCACCTCAATGCAACATATTTTATAAATCTTTGTAATGTCACATGTGGAATGACAAGCCAAAAGATACATTTAAACCTCCAGCCAAGTCAGAACAACTTGTAAATCATCATGCATTTAAACCTTTCATACTATCACTTTCTTGCACAATAAAAGTGCTCATTTCTTACCCACTTTTTGTACATGTCTGCTCTTGAGGCTTTATTTCTATCAGGAACCATCAGATTTTCTGACCATTGGCTCTCTACTGGAAAGAAGTCTCTTTCTGAATCCACCATCTGCAGCAGCCACGACATGTCTATCGTGACATGCCGTGTTAGAGGAAAGGCAAGGGAGGGCAACAGGCAGCCTGGGAGACACGTTCCTTCCCCCAGGGGTTGTACTGCCGAATTTCAGTGGTGCGGCAGTGGCAAAAGGACTGAGCTCTCTCTTAAAACAAGGCACGCAATGGGAAATCACACCCTTTGGGGAGCATGGTTTGCCTTTAGAACAAAGTGAACCCGCCTTATTTTACATTGGAAACCTTTAAAAAGTGTCCGTTGCACTGTTGTCTCACCATGGAAATGTGATAGCAGTGATTTTGATGGTAGGGTAGTGTGCAGCCCCTGGTGGGATTCTGGGGACCAAAAATTTTCCCCCAGAATTTCTGAAGTAGAGCCCTTGCAGTAAAGTAATATCTACTACAAGAGCAGACTCTGATTGAAATCATTTTTGCCAATGTTTGAATTGCCTATAAAATCTTCTTTGTTTAGAAATGGTGAACAGCTAGATAATGGGTAGAATCCAGACTTAGTCATACTGCAAGATCCATTGCATCTATGATTCTGTCTGGATCTCATTGAATGTGCACAGGTGCGATCTAATGAATAAAGAATCCGAATGAAATCAGTGGGATTTTGGCATGCTTTCTTGGCTCAGCACAAATACCGCAGACCTGATTCTTCAGATGGTGATTTGGTAGCTCAGGATTATGTGACCAGCTCACAACTCTCACCCTCAGCCCGCTCACATGGGTGTCCTATTCCAGTTCCTGATTTTCTTTGACCTTTGTTTGTCGTTACACCCAATTTGGTAATCAATTGCTCTCACCGTCTCCCATGGGACAGGATGGCATAATTTTAGATCAGGGTATGAAGCAAGTCACAGTTGGGCCACTTTGGAAATTCTAACAAACTATAGCTAGGTAAAATCATAATATCGGGAGAGAAAACTGCATGCAAAGTGTACACAGTTTAGGGCTAAAGCATGTTTCTGAGTCTCCAAACCCTGGTTTGAAGTCTTAATTCATGATATCTGAATCAGGTCGTGGCATACGGAATTGTGCTCTGTGCTTTTTCAGCGTTTAGATATTTGATTATGGTCCAAAATAATTATGTTCAGCATGTATGGCATAGGATTATATTAATCTAAATGTAAGCATAGAAGAGAATTAACTTTCCTTTTTGCCCCAGTGGGAGGCTTAGAGGCATAGCATCTGACAACAATGAAAATCAATTGGAATTGAAAGCACTTAAGTCTAGCTAAATCACACGCTAATCTTTTAAACTAATTTTGAAAACTGCTTAACTTAGAACTGACTCTATTCAGATAAGACATTGAACTTTTGGGTCAAAACAAATAAATATAAAATTTGTCTTTTTAAATACCTATTTTCACTTTTTTGCAGAGTACTGGATAGTTTTTTGATGGTTAGAGGCAGATTTAATTGTTTACCTTTTTTAAAAGTCTATAAGCAAGGACTCATCTAGTCCAGCACTATGCCTGCCATACTGTATGACCAGATGCTCCTGAAAAGCTCACAAGCTGAGTAGATTGGAGATCAATAGTCATCAGCTATTGATGGGACTGCCATATTTTATCAGTGCAGACATGGGAGTGCTAGAACAAATGTGCTTTGCAAGTAGAAAGTCACATTTTAATTCTGGCATCTCCAGGTAGGGCTGGCAAAATGTCCACCTGAAGCTCTGGAGAGCAAATTCCAGTCAGTGTTGGCAACACCAGGCAAGACAAACCAATAACTTTACGATGTGTAAGAAAACTTCCTATGTTATCCATCCTCGCCATGCTGGGTTTTCCATAAATGTGCAAAGTCAATTAATTCATAACCACCCCATGTTCTCTTCTTCAACATATCGAAACAACAGAAATCAAAATAACTATGAAAAATAGAGATGGTGGGATGGGACTATTTCTCAAAGGCTACATTTGGTTCTCTAACAATATTAATCTCTATCCAGTTATTTGATATCAGGACAGGTAGAATCCTCCAAACCAATACGCACTGTATAACTAAGGGACCCGATTACTAGGATTTTGGAGGTTTTATAGAATTCTCCTTTTTTCTTGGTTAAATTTGGTGAAAGAATGTTTTACGTGAAATAAATGTGACAAAGTCAGTCATATATTTTTGAAGAGAAGCTATCCTTTTTTCATACTGTTAAGCAGGAAAGATGTGTCCTGTGGAGAAAACTGCCTTGATTTGTCACGCTTTGGGAAAGGTATATACTTTTTCCTGAGGAAAATAAAAAGAAACTATCTTGAAGGAGACTATCTACTTTAATCCATGCATACTTTTAAAAGACTAAGACTGTGTTAGAATTCCTTCGTTGGGATGACTGCTTTATTGAGAGAAGGATATTATTAGATTTTTTAAAACTCAGATGTAAAAGTGCTTGGGTTAGTTCTGAAGATACGCATAAGAAAAGGCAGTATGCAGAGAAGTGTTTTAAATTCTTAGTCTTTCTTTCCTGGATGAAGCTGTTGGAGTTAAAAAATCTGTTCTATGTCGGACTTAAGAGATACCAGGGATCCACTAAGACATCAGACTTCTTTCAATCTTTGTGCAGAAATAACCTCTGGTTTCTTAAAACTAGTAAAACAAATCAAGTGCCAGTAGCTGCTCTTCCTTTCCCCTAAACTTTATATTGTGTTTGCGGTAGGATAAGCATAGATAACGCCACATTATTAATCTGCAGTTTTCAATGTGTGTTCAAACCTTGAACAGCGAACTAAAACAGACAAAAGGGCATCAACTGGTCATTTGTTCTTTAAAAGATCCTATGTTCTGTTCTATGTTCGTTCTAGGCTCAGGAGAGTGGTGGGAATACCTGAAACCATCTTAGGTTCAGTTCATTCACTATTATCTGTGCCAACCAGCTGGGGCTCTCCAGGATTTCAGAGAGTAGCCTTTCCATCTACTCAGAGATGCAGGAATGGAAGCTGGGACCTGCTGCATGGTATGCCATGTGCTGCGCCCCGGGGCTAGGGTTACAGCTCCTATGCCCAGGCTTTGACAGGGTTCAGGCACAGAATGCACACTCAAAGGGTGAGTGTGGATTATCATTGCACAATAGGTGGTGGTGGTGGAACTAAATGTTATTGTGTTGTCCGAATCCACCTAAGATAAGAATACTGAATGTCAGTCCACAAAACTAACAACAGTGGGTGTATAAATGATGGATTGTTTGTGCCCAACAAGCCATATGATTCATAAGCCATTCATCACAGTTGAACAAGCCACAGTTGTTACATTGTCCGAACCTAATCACTGAGTAAATAGAACCAATCACCAGGCATGCACTGAAGCTAGTTGGACAAGTGGACTTACAGTACACGCTTTTATTTAAAACAATGCAATCCAACATGGGCAATCTATGCATTATTTACCCTTCTGCACCTTGTTTGTGGTACATGCAAATCCTGCTCCTGATTTGTGAGGATTTCTGAACTGAAATTGATCATATTTCTGTTTATTATACCAGTGGGATTCAAAACAACAATGTTAATATATATAAACTATCGCAGGTCTATTAAAAAGAACAGAGATCTTGTGTTTTCTTTAAACATTCCATAGACATCACTTAGGAAGGAATGATAAAATGCTCTTACTGACTGTGGAATGCATAATAAATAGCCTCAGGAGAAATTACATCCATTCAGGGTATTCTTCCATAAAATTGACTATTACATTATTGATGCATTAAAAATGAACAACAAAAAGAATGAAATTTAGGCTGCTGTTCTATGCACTATTTTCAAGAAATACTCCCCAGTTGAGCGCAATATGACTTTCTTCTGAGTAGACATTTATAGTATTGTACTTTTACTGGGTTTTTCCACATCTGAAGTGGGTGAAAGGAAGCTTTTATTAGACAATTACATTTTATTATGCACATTTTCATACTGATTTGTTACAGTCTTATGTTTAGTGAGCCATAAAACTATTACTATGTACTTTGTGAATTTACCGACAAACCCTTATTAGACTTTTGCCATCAAAAAGTATTCTGTGATATTTAACAGTATTTTTGTACCATTTTTAAAGGAAATCTTTGAAAAATACAGTCAATGATATCTTGTAACACTTTAGCGCAATAAATTTTAAAATTTTATCACTAAGATGGAGTTTGTTGATAGCTTGGTGACTCAAAGGTTCATGAACACTTCATGAACACTCCTTTGAATTTTACTCTGTCCACTGATGGTTTTTCAGCTCATTAGTTATGCATCAGAAGGAGTGAAAGGGAGACCTACATGATGAAAACGGTGATGACTGCAAAATCCTGACAGAGTTCAACGTGAGCTTTATAGACTTGTTTATTTAGCAATGGTAGAATCTGGGACAGCACATTTTCGGTTGTATGTTGGCAGGAAGCTTCGATCAACCTTCTTCAGACTGGCACTCTTCAGTTATGTTGGTTTGCTGGTTCCACAGAGGAGGCATCTGGAGAGCAACCTCTTGGAATCAGCTCCTTGATCCATCTTTGTCAATTGGG